AAATTTATTTCAGGTACTTATATAGCACTGTCAATTTATGCAGCACTTTACATATATATTTTGTACATTCACATTAGTCCCTAACCCTCAAGGGGTGTACAATCTAAAGTCCCTAATTCACATTCATGCATACACATATTAAGGCCAATGTAGACAGGAGCCAATTAACCTACCAGTATGTCTTTGGAATGTGGGAGGAAACCGGAGTACCCGGAGAAAACCAAGCAAGCGCAGGGAGAAAATGCAAACTCCATGCAGGAGGCACCATGGTTGGGAATCGAACCCATGACCCATTTACTGCAAGGCAGATGTGCTAACCACTGAGCCACTGTGCCTCCCTAATGAACACAACTTGAGGGAACCAAAGCTGTTCTCTATAATTGGACAACAAATAGGTTCCTCTATTCATCTACATTGCACAGAGGGAGGGGAACTAATAGTTTACAAATGACAGCTTAACCACTTGCCCTCCTGAGTGTTTACCCCCCCTTCCTAACCATTTTTGTGATATGGCACTGCATTACTTTAACTAACAATTGCGCGGTCATGCAATGCTGTACCCAAATGAAATTTACGTCCTTTTTTTGACCACCTGTGCATTTTTAATTTTTTTGCGCTTTAAAAAAAAAGGCAATTTTAAGAAACAAAAACAATAATTTTGACTTTTTGCTATTAAACATGTCCAGTAAAAAAATTTAAAAAAATCAAATTTCATCATAAATTTATGCCAAAATGTATTCTGTGACATGTCTTTGCTAAAACAAAATCCAAACACGTGTAAATTATTTGGTTTACCTGAAAGTTATAGCGTTTACAAATGGCAATATATATACTGGGATTTTAATATTTTTTTACTAGTAATGGCAGCGATCAGTGACTTATAGCGGGACTGCCGGACTGTGGCGGACATTTTGACACTGGGGGGGAACTGACTTGGTGTCACTGACATCCCAAGTGACACTAATACAGTGATCAGTGCTAAAAAAAAAGCACTGACACTGTACTAATGGCACTGGGCAGGAAGGAGTTAACATGAGGGGTGATCAAAGGGTTAACTGTGTGCAGGGACTGTTTTACTAGTGGGTGGTGTGTGTGTTTTATTGTAATGTGTGCACAGCCATCCAGAGCAGTGTGCCTGAGCTGGCAAGGAGGAGGACTGTTAGTAAACAAAACAGTCCTTCTTCCCCATCAGTGATCATCGGAAATCACCGGGCACGGTGAGTAATTACCGGCCGGGACCTGGTGATTGACAGCCGCGGCCACGATTGGTGGCGCAGGTAGGGCGTGTACGTGGCTCGGGCACACCCCCTACCCAGGAATGCAAAATCATGTATATATACCTGATTTTTTGCACACGTGCGGCCCTGTAGCAGTATTTCTGCTACAGGGCGGCAGGGGTGAGGTTAAAGAAACACAGGGATATTCGTGTTTTCATTTCAGCTCACAGGAAGGGGCAGAACACTGTATTTCTGGCAAGAACAACAGGTATTTTCTGTGCTTGCTAAATTTGTTCTTAGCCTAAAAAAAGAAAACCTATGGAAGCCACTTTATCTAAGGAAAGTAAGCTGCAATATGAACATTTTTTGTTCTTGCTTTTAGATATCCTTTAAATGTAATGCTCCACTTACAAAAAAGATTGCTTCTACTCTTAAAGTGGAACTAAACTAAAACGTAAAGGTTTGCTATGTTATAGGGAACATTATGAAGTGCTAATTGTACCTAGGCAGTTTCTTTTTTCTGGGATCTTTCTTGTAAAATTGTATGGAAGTGTGCCAAGGCACACCTGTGCCTACAGTCTTATGGTTGTATATCTGCAGTGTGAGACTTTAGCACTGCCGACTGGCAGCAAATCTCATAAAATTTATGGCAAAATTTAGTTTTTCTTGATGGGGACTCTGACATAAGGAAGCAAAAGGCCTGCCTCCACCCCCACACAGAGACACAAAACAAAGTAATGTACAGTTCTGTTCAAAATAATAGCAGTGTGTTGAAAAAAGTGAATAAAGCTCAAAATCCTTCTAATAGCTTTTATTTCCATACACACAAATGCATTGGGAACACTACACATTCTATTCCAAATCAAAACATGAAGAAAAAATATATCAAATTTGTGCTGTTCCTCTAAAAAAAATTGAAGAAAAGTGAATATTAGACTGTTCAAAAAAATAGCAGTGTTTGTATTCTTCTTTACAAACTCAAACATTCACTATATAAACTGAAAAATGTTTGAAGATTTTTGCTTTCCTTTAAATCACTTAATGAATATTTAGTTGTATAAGCACTGTTTCTGAGAACTGCTGTACATCTGTGTTGCATGGAGTCAACCAACTTCTGGCACCTGTGAACAGGTATTCCAGCCCAGGATGACTGGACTACATTCCACAGTTCTTCTCTGTTTCTTGGTTTTGCCTCAGAAACTGCATTTTTGATGTCACCCCACAAGTTTTCTATTGGATTAAGATCCAGGGATTGGGCTGGCCACTCCATAACGTCAATCTTGTTGGTCTGGAACCAAGATGTTGCACGTTTTCTGGTGTGTTTGGGGTCGTTGTCTTGTTGGAACACCCATTTCAAAGGCATTTCCTCTTCAGCATAAGGCAGCATGACCTCTTCAAGTATTCTGATGTATTCAAACTGATCCATGATCCCTGGTATGCGATAAATAGGCCCAACACCGTAGTATGAGAAACATCCCCATATCATGATGCTTGCACAACCATGCTTCACTGTCTTCACAGTGTACTGTGGCTTGAATTTAGTGTTTGGGGGTCGTCTGACAAACTGTCTCCGGCCACTAGACCCAAAAACAACAATCTTACTTTCATCAGTCCACAAAATGTTGCGCCATTTCTCTTTAGGCCAGTCAATGTGCTCTTTGGCAAATTGTAACCTCTTCAGCACATGTCTTTTTTTTCAACAGTGGGACTTTGCGGGGGCTTCTTGCAGATAGCTTGGCTTCACAAAGGCGTCTTCTAATTGTAACAGTACTCACAGGTAACTTTAGACCTTCTTTGATCTTCCTGGAGCTGATTGTTGGCTGAGTCCTTGCCATTTTGGCTATTCTTCTATCCATTCGAATGGTAGTTTTTCGCTTTCTTCCACGTCTTTCAAGTTTTGGTTGCCATTTTAAAGCATTTGCGATCATTTTAGCTGAGCAGCCTATCATTTTCTGCACTTCTTTATACGTTTTCCCCTCTCCAATCAACTTTTTAATCAAGGTACGCTGTTCTTCTGAACAATGTCTGGAATGACCCATTTTCCTCAGAATTTCAGAGAGAAATGCACTGTAACCAGCATGTACAACATTTGCTGCCTTTCTTCCTTAAATAAGGGCAATAATTGCCACCTGTTTTTCAAAGAATGAATGACCTCACTAATAGAACTCCACACTGCTATTATTTTGAACATGCCCCTTTCAATTAGTGATTCAATTACACAGAATTAGCAGCATGCATGTCATGAATGTTGATTCTGTTGGATTTCTATTACTCTACTACACCTGCTAGTATACCATTTGCCATGTAAAAATATCATTTCTACCAAAAACAGTGATTGATCAGGTTAGTGATGTCTGACTGCTATTATTTTGAACACAACTGTAGGTCAGTAATGGGGGAAAATCAGCTGCCGGGAGACCACAGGCAATGCTGGTGACTAATTCTTTGCCCCTGCCTGCCTTTTTTGGACAAAGCACTCAGACATTAGTTCCACTTTAACAGTTTCCCAGACCCAAAAGGCCATTTGCAAGAGAGAAACTCCTATCTATAGGCATTTGTGTCATAAACCTGTGTCATAAACCTGTAATGTCACTGTACTATGTTAGGTACTGAAAGTGCTATTAATTAAGTTCTGTTTTGTGCTGAAAGCTAAAGCCACCATAACCAATTAAAACTTGATAAATCAATGAACTATGCATCTCTCATTAGGAAATTATCTGATAGGTGATCAGAGATTTCAGTTTTAGGTCAGTGACGTACAGCTAAAAAGTCTCATCTGCCTATCAGATTTCATTTTACTGCCTTATCTAATAGCGGGAAGAATCCTTGTTAAAAGAAAGCTGAAAGGGCAACCTCACCATCTCATCCAGGAACAAAGAGTCATATTGCTGCTATGTTTCTCTTAGACCGGGAAACAGCTGTACACCCTGTGAGAGTGAAAAGGCTATGAGAGAGGACAATGATCAGGATCACAATGTCCCATCATACAGAGAACTTCAAATTCACTTACTATTCTGTGTTTTAATTAATAAGATAATGGTACTAATTTGCAGGACTGAGGTTCAAATTCAGATGAGGTCAGACAGACAGGTGCCTCCTTATGAGATAATGCATACTGAAACACTACAAGACCGACAGCTGCCCTTCCAATCGAGTCATTCCCATAAGAGTCTTGGCTTCACATCTAGATTCATATCTAGGGAATTCATTATTTAATTATGGGTATATTCTAGCTGCCTTTAAATATAATATAGTGACATGTAAGTGTGTAACCTTATAAGCCATTTAACAACCATTATTTTTTTCCCCCTACGAAACAAATAAAAATTTGACTAATTACAGCTGGGCTCATTTAGTGCACTACGGGTTGATTTACTGTGCAAGGGAATTTCCATTAACTTAGTGCAGCTGTAGGAAACCTGCGGCTCTCCAGCTGTTGCAGTACTACAAGTTCCATCATGCCTCTGCACGTCATAGCTGTAACTGTCAGTTTTGTAATGTTGCAATGTCTCATGGGAAATGTAGTTCCACAACAGCTAGAGAGCCACAGGTTGCCTACCCCTGGCTTAGTGGATATAACGAAAATTCACTTTGCAATGAATACCCAATTATATACAAGGAAAATTAAAAAAACAGTATTTTTGCTTGCACATGATTGAATGATATCATCAGAGCTTTGACCCATTTGCTAAGCTAAAGGAAAAATCCCTTCCAAAGTTGAGCGCTTAATTTTTCTTTACTAAATCAATCCCTATGGATATAGAATGTGTATGTATGTTCTAGGGCACAGGTGTCAAGCTGGCAGCCCTCCAGCTGTTGCCAAACTACAAGTCCCATGAGGCATTGCAAGATTGACAGTTACAAGCATGACTCTCAAAAGCAGAGACATGATGGGACTTGCAGTTTCGCAACTGGAGGGCCACCAGTTTGACACCCCTGTTCTAGGGTAAAACAGTAGTATCACCAAGAACAGTTAATGTGAAATGCGAAAAAAAAAAGGTGATGTAGGACTAAAATGTTACTGAAACACAGAGTGTAGGAAGGGGAGTAGGGGTATGACATAGGGGGATTAGGAAGCTGAAGAGGGGTGACTAAAAGGGGATGAGGGAGGGGTGGGGAGTGAAACAGAATATAGGGGCAGGGATAAGAGAACACAGGGTCTGGTCTACACAAGATCCCAGGATAAGCCAACTGTACATAAATCCAACGTTTCATTAGGTGATGTCAAAAAGGTCATGAGATATGGGCACCTGATGATTTTCTCTGATTTTAGAAAAGAGGATCTCTTGTAGGAAAGATCTGGAGAAACATCCATGGAATCCACAGGAATATGGAATTCCACAGAAACAGGATGAAACCATTGAAAATTGAAAACGTAAAGCATATTTGTCATTTCTATTTTTTATCTTTAGTTACACTTTAATAATTAAAATATTCCATATATCACTACCTTACTTCATTGAAAGCTGGTCAAATGTTTCATCTTTCTATCACAGTCCTTTACATTTTAAGCCATACTACATTCTAAATTGTACAGCCCATCCTTATAACAACACCCTTTCTAAGTATGTTGAATACAATGGCTTCTACTACTAGCTAAAATCACAAGCCTACTTCCGTATTATAAATGTATGCAAGTTGGTGATAAAGTTAAATTGTGTTATTAAGTGATGATATCTGGGTGTCAGACAGTTCTTAAAATTGTCATAGGTAGGATTTGAATTATATTATCATGTATATATACAGTAGCATCATTGCAGAGTAGCCTCTAAATGGTCTGACTACTGAACAGCGTAAAAATTAAAAAGACACTTAGTCTATTGTGCAGTTTTTTGGTATACACTTTCTGACTCCATAAACATGTGCAATCTCACATGTTTTGTAGCATAGAGCAGCCATGCCTCTTATAACAGACCCACATCATATACACCACCCTCACAGGGAAGATAATATGGAAGGTTCTCATATTTTTAGATCTTAGATCTAATCAACTGGTAACAAGAAAAAAATGTGAATAATTTTCCATGCTCCTTTTATTTGGTGCACTTCAATGGAAATGAAGCATCTGTTTTCTTTTTTCTTAGAAGTGCCTCTAATATTAGTTCTCTGGGGCTGGTAACCAAGACATTGAATCACAAATGACAAGTGGTACGGTCTAGAAGCTGGAGAGGCTTGTTTTTCATGAGCTTCTACAATGGTTATTACTTTGCGGAGTGAGATTTTTTTTCTAGTATACCTTTAGGTGCCAACATAGCTTCAGAATGTGTATGGCCCAATTAGCGTTGCGTTATAACTTTAACTTTAATAACTTTCAAGTTATTAGTATGGATGATTACAGGAATTTCCACAAGTTTACCCTGTAAACTCCACTGAAGTTAGAATGACTAAAGATTCTGTCAGCACCTGTGGTAGAGAGCCCTTGTAGATAGTCAACTTGGGGTTGCCCAGGGCGCAAAGTCTAAGCCCCAGCCTGCTTCTTCACCAGAGCCCCTGATGGTGAGGATGGACTTGCAGCAAGCTGGGACCAGGTCGCGGCCCCTGGGTATGTCCAGGTGAGGATGAGGAGACCGCTCATCGGTGCAGAGTACAATGGGAGGAGACAAACGGAAATCCGATATACTAGCCAAGGTCAGGACGGGCGGAAAACAAGCACAGTCAGAGAATGAATCCGGGGTCAGTATACGAGTAGTCAATGCAGGATACAGGAAATAGCAACACACAGGAGCTCAAACAACTAGGAAGTTGCTCAGGCAAAGTGGCCTAGACTGAGCATGTCTTATAAAGTCAGGCAAACAAGGAGGTGGGCCAAGAAGTGATGGAAGGGAAGGAAATAAAACCCAGAGAACAGCAGATGACGCCCTTAGGTGAGCACAGACAAACACACATGTGAAAGGGATCAGGAACAGCACTGTAGCAAGGAGGTAAGAACACAAACATGAAACTGCAGGCTAACTTGTGACAGTACCCCCCCTCTTATGAGGTCTCCCCACTTTTGTAGGGCCAGGCTTAAGGGGAAGCTTTTGATGAAAAAATTCCACAGACGGGGTGCAGAAACATCAGTAGAAGGAATCCAACACCTTTCCTCAGGACAATATCCCTTCCAGTCAATTAGATACAAGAGCTTCCCTCTGATGAATTTAGAATCCAAGATTTGCTTGACTTCATACTGATCCGAAGTACTCACTATTGGGGAAGGATGATGATGAGGACGGGAAACCTGTTGATGATGTACGGTCTCAGAAGAGAAACATGGAAAACATTAGGGAATCTCAAATGTGAGGGGAGATGAAGTTTAAAAGCAACAGGATTGACCTGACGGAGTATGGTAAAGGGACCAATGAACCAACAAGCAAATTTCATAGAGGGTACCTGTAGACGGATATTCTTCGTAGAGAGCCATACCTTGTCATCAGGGAGAAATTTGGGACTCACGCGGCGATGGCGATCTGCAGCTATTTTGTACTTGGAAGCTGCCAGATGTAAAGTGCGTCACCGAGGCTATGCATTATGTCACTTTAGTCACGTGACTGCCTCAGGGCCCTGAGGCGTGGTGACACACTCCCGGCGCGGACGCCATCTTGCTGCACCCAATTGAACATACTCATGCAGATACACCCAGAACATGAGGTTCTAAATGCTGGTTTGTGAAGGATGACAATGTGAGTGTACTATTTGGATTTCTTCACTTTATATTGAGCTTAATAAAAGGTATTACACTATGGAAGGTTCTACCTATGTTTTTTGAGATACTGGCTTATACCTTATCCGTGTACCTGGAGAGGATTCTGCTACTTGCACGCACATCCCTGAGAGGGAGATCGCTGAGGGGAGAGATATATCCAGGAATAGAGGAATCATATACATGGAGGATCCGGTTTAGTGATCCCAAAAGTGTTTTGACCCCCTGCGGGTCGAAGCAAGGAGGTGAGCGGCCAATCCGGCTTTTGACGGATACTCTTCTGTGATTACCCACATTCACCATCCGCGAGCACGAGTGTGTATTTTGTTTATTTGAATATATGGTGGTGTAGTACCACATTTGGACATTTTTTCACATTTTTTCTTATAGTTTGGAGTCATGCATTTTGCATGCTATAAGTTCACTTATGTATTTATCATTTGCTGTGCTTTTTTATGTATGTATTGATTTGTGTATGGGAATACTTTATAATTTTTTGGCGATTCAGATATTTGGCTTTTGCATGTTGATGCACTTGTTTATGCACGTTTATGCGTTTCTTTACCTCTGAGTCCAAATTTTGGACGTGTCACTTATCAATCCGTTCTTTGGGCTGAATTTATAATTTCTTGTCTTGTTTGTTTTGTTCACACCATCACTTTGGATCCTTATTTAGGATTTGTGCACATTTATACTATACAGTAAAAAGTCTGTGATTACCGTCATTGAGGTGGTGCATTACTCACTGTGTACACTATTGGATCCATTGAGGATCGGTTCACCAATATATATCTGCAGATCCCTGGAGGATCAGGTCACTGTTTGTGTTTTTCTGCACATTGTGTCACTTTGTGTATATGCACTTTTATATATTGTTTAAATAATTAAGCATTAGTTATATTAGTAGCATCAGAGTAGCGATGCATCATTTCCTTCATTTCATTTATACTGACAGGGGTGTCATCAAAAGGACAAGAGGAATGCCCAATTTAGTGGCCAATGAGTGTTTGATAAAATTTCTGGCTGCCCCAGAGTCCACATAAACCGAAACATGATATGAGTTCAGAGCCCAATGCATGGAGACAGGTATAACAACTCAAGGGAAGGTGGCGGAGTTCAGGTTCTGGTCTAGATCACCTCCCGCAGAGTGTGATAGACCTGAGAGTTTCCCGGACGGACCGAACAAGACTTAATTACATGATCCTCAGCCCCACAGTAAAGGCATAGACCAAGTCTTAGTCGACGCGATCGCTCTTGTGGAGTGAGGAGGCATGTTTGGCCTAACTGCATAGGTTCCTCGGATGGTGGTACAGTTGCAGAAGTAGATCGATCAGGGGATTTTTGGAAAACAGGAGCTAACGAACCCACTTGGGGTCAACATGGACCAGACCTTTCCAGATCTCGCTCCTGGAAGCGGACATCGATTTGGATGCTAAGAGCAATCAAGTCACCAGGGTGGTGGGTATGGTTCTCCCAGCTAGCTTGTCCTTAATACGGTCCGCTAGACCCTGCCAAAAAGTTCCAGAAAGGGCCTCATTATTCCATGCCAGTTCTGAAGCTAAGGTGCGAAACTGAACTGCATACTGACCAACCGTCATGCTACTTTGATGAAGTCGAAGAAGGGCTCTGGCAGCAGATGAAGCTCTGCCGGGCACATCAAAGGTTTTCCGGAAAGTTTGCTGGAAGGCTGGGAGACTGGAAATAGTGCAATCCTGATGCTCTCACAGTGGCAAGGCCCAAGCCAGTGCTTCACCCGAAAGGAGGGAAATCATGTATGCCACCTTGGAACGGTCAGTAGGAAAATGGTCGGCTGCTAGTTCAAAGTGAATTGAGCACTGATTGCAGCATCTGGGACCAGGTCGCGGCCCCCAGGTACACCCAGCTGAGGATGAGGAGACCGTTCTCACAGGAGCAGAGTACAATGGGAGGAGACAAACGGAAATCCGATAGCCTAGCCGAGGTCAGGACGGGCAGAAAACAAGCACAGTCAGAGAATGAAGCCAGGGTCGGTACATGAGTAGTCAATGCAGGATACAGGAGATAGCAGCACACAGGAGCTCAGACAACTAGGAAGCTTCTCAGGCAAAGTAGCCTAGACTGAGCATGTCTTATATAGGCAGGCAAACAAGGAGGCGGGCCAGGAAGTAATGGAAGGGAAGGAAATAAAACCCAGAGAACAGCAGACGATGCCCATAGGTGAGCACAGACAAACACACATGTGAAAGGGATCAGGAACAGCACTGCAGCAAGGAGGTAAGAACAAAAA